GAGAAAACATCAAGTGATGCAAGAGCTAATGACAGCTCTCGTGAAGAAGCAGTAGATCATTGGGCCAGACGAAGGAAACAGTTCAAAAACAGCAAAAGGTGTGGTTCCACTGGAGGAAGTTCCATAACCAGCACTATCACAGAAGGATCCAGTAAGTGTTGCAATGGCAGGGGACGGGGCACTAGCCAGGCAAATAATTTCATCTGTCTGCACTGAATGTTATTGTATTGCATGTTCTTGTCCTAACCACTTCAGATGCACCACGAAGCTGAGAGAAAGCACCTCCGATGCCTCAGGGCAGCAGGTGAATGGAGGGCAGAAAAACACATTGGCATGATGCATCTTCTTAAGTTTTGATCATTACTGCTGAATTGCTTATATTGTCTTCTAACACCCTCACCCCACACCTCTCTAACATCAGATACGAGGGTCAAAATGTGCGTGTGTGTTCTTAGGGGAAGTTCTTAAGAGAAACCACTTCCACTGCGTAAGATGCTAATCAATGCAAAAGTCAGATATTTCAGAATCATATCATAGATGAAGGAAGCACTAGAAAAATGGTTGTTCTCTGTGTCTCTTTGTATCTAAATATAACACTCTCTAGGGCTTTCCCCCATGACTTCCACAGACTGGATTAACCTTCATCATCTCTGGACTAAGAGTTTTTCTTCTGCCTCATTATTATTTCTGCTCTTCCTTCACTTGTTTAAAACTATGCCAAGAACATGAAGTCTCAGGGGAGAGCTCTCAGCTTAAGATGCCTAATGAATGCACTGCGCATGGTGATGTGCTCCCCAAGTGGGAATTTTAATGTGCAAGGCGCAGCGAATGCTTCACTTCACAATGTGTTGATGCTTTTGTCTCCTCATTTGTCACTGCAGCTAGACAGATATATGCAGTCAATATAAATGAGGGAAATGAATTCTATATCTAGAATATCGATTCATTACTGCAAGTATTTCTACCGGTAAGAGAGTTGCACGTCAGCATATTTATTGCTTACCCTTTTCACCAAATCATGTGGCCTTTCGGGTGCATTCCAAAGGCATCATCTTCCCAAAGTAAGGGTTTTTATTTACTGGCACCATTTGGGGAAGAGAGAGAGAGAGATGCATATTCATCAGCCACACCATTGCTGGCATTCAAACTGTCACAACACTCACCATTTATACATTAGCTCTCTCTGAATGTCCATGCTTTTGTAACAAATTCCCTTAGTGTGTACATGACAAATAAAGAGGATGTAGTCAGTGGGCTGCCATGAAAAAAAAATGCAAATGAAAACCAAAAATGACTGCTTTAACTTCTAGTGAAAAGGGTGGTTGATGGATTTAGTAATTGCCTTGATTCTCTCTGATTTCTTCAGCCACCCCTTTGGATGTAGGTAGCCACACTGCTCAAGCCAAACATGGACAGTATTCTCTCTGCACCCAGCAGCTGCATGAAGCCAGTATGTGTGGATTGAAACACGTGTTTCTGCTACACAAAGAGCATCATCCAAAGGGATATTCAATGAGCATTCCTCACAGCTGAGTTACTAAGGCCCTGCCTCCTAACAAGAAGATATGCTGGGCAGCTGGGAATTGGCAGAAGCCGAATGGCAGAAGGAGCTCTGATGAGAGGAGAGGCATTCACTCTCTTATGCTTACAGAAGTAGTTGCATGTCCTCAGAGCCTTTCTGAATTGCAGCTGTAATCCCCATCTTAGAGTATACAAATTCTCTTGGGAAGTTTTCTAGAGCCTCACTAAAATGACCATAACTTGTGCAACCGCATGGCTGTTGTTTTTCCTTAACACAGTGTTGCCTAAGCTTTTGAAAAACTGTTAACGCACCTAATTGGTATGAGATGCTGTCATTGTCACATACACTACAGTGGGCCTCAGCACTTGGTGTGCCTTTGCTTCTTGTCTACAGAATCAGACCGTAAGAACTGATACATTAGACAGGTTGATTTGGGTGCCATAGAAGAGCAGCAAATTGTGAGTTATTGAATGTGTTGTGGTTGTATTTTTATTCTTAAGAAAGGCACTTCAGGGATTTTTGTCTCAGTTGCCAAAATCACTTGGTTAGGCTTAGGTATGGTGCAGTGTTCACACTCTCTTGTTGAGGCGGACATAATTTGCAATTCCCTCCCAGGAACCAAAATGTCAATCCAGCCCTGAGCTGCCCAGTAGAATGGAGGCAGGCAAGAGTGCAAGCTGGTCAAAAGCCAGGCCTACAGACCCCCTTGTTCCTATCTAGGCAGGGATGTCACAAAGCCATCCTGTTACTGCCACTTCCTGAACATCTGCCGAGGTTGATTGTTTGCACCCATCGCTCACTAACTTGATGTGCCATCTGGATCTATTGCCCTGTAGAATCCTTACTGTGCTGTCTCAGTTTTCTGTCTGGAATACTTGCTTCTACTTAGAATCAGTCAGTTTGATTCTAGTCTGGCTAGAAACAGGAGAGCTGATAGGTAGAACAATGGCCCATTTTGGCACCTTTCAACTCTGTGGCTGCGTCCAAACCTGCAGTCTTTATGCTGTATTTTGTTCAATAATGAAAAGCAAGCTTTTTCATGTGAAGCTTTGGCAATAGAATCCAATTAGGAACAAATTAGGCATATAATGTGATTATATTGGGTTCTTAAAAATAAGCCACAGAATTAGGATTAGCATAAAAGACAATTACTACTAATACTCCTATTTATTGATATTGTTCTTATTCTATACTACCTTTAACAATGTAAAAGACTCCTTTTACAGATATTTTTCTGCAGATTGATTCAAAAGTTTACATAGATGTGAAGGGTTTTTCTCTTCTAACCTGATTGTTTAGTTACAAGCTCCCATTTTCAAATAGAGGACTGACTAGTACCATGTAGAAGGAAATAGTATAGAATTGAGAACAATTATGAACCAGTGTGAAATGGGCAAGTCTTAGTGGCAGATCTCATTAACTTAATCAAACCAACAAAGGAATGGCAGCCTTGACATTCTATTCCTTTGCATCGTGCATTGAAGAAGTTAATCACCACCTTGTACGGGTAGCTGTGACATATGTAATAATGACTTGCTGCTTGGAAGTGCTACTTCATGAACACTGTGGTGCCTTATGTAACACAATGTTGATGAGCAACTGAATTAACTGTGAATCACTCATCCATATGATCAGACCTGCTCCTGGGAAACTCCCCTTCTCTGTCTTTACACAGTGGAACTATAAACAATAGGCACTAAGCTTTAAAGGCTGGATTTTGACAAAGTTAGATTTGTTGCACATGGACCTTCAGTGGTCAAAAGGAGAACGCAAAGGTAAGTCCCTGTTGGCTTTTGTGTGAAAGTCTATATTTGTCATTTTCTGTTCCTTGATCCAAGTAAGCTAAGGTTATATTAGTGGTTGGGAGGGCATTAAGGAGGATAAAAATCTGGTGTTTAAAAAGTGAGCCAAATAGAAAGGTTTACTTTCTCCATCTTTCTTCTCTATCATACTGTCATAAATCATAAGAGATCGCTGGACACTGCAGAAATTTGTTAGTCAATTTTGTGTTCAGGTCGAAAGACGATGTGTTGACCCCTAGCACCCACCACCCAGAAAGGAAAAGAAAATATACTTCTGGTTCTAAAATTAGCAGGCTAAATGGGATGTTGTTAAGGAATATGAAAGTGAAAGTTTGATATTTTGATATGCTGATTTTTACCTGTGCTGAAAGGACTAGATTAGTACGAATGTCTCTCAAGCATCTCCTGAGTGATGTTACTTATTTTAGACTCACTTTTTTCCTCCCCACCCCAAACCCTGCTGCTTGCCAATTTCTATTCTTGACATTAACAAGCATCTCCAAATACTGGCTCATAGTATTACATCTCCAGAAACTTCATCTGTTTTCGTAAGCAATAAACATGCACCTGGGTGTGTTTGAGGGGCACAAAGACTAAACAGAAGCATTTCTAACAAAAGCATTGGGCTTCATGGTGATGGAACAAACTTAGAAGTATGTCTGGGGGCAACTTTTGAGATTTTATGTCAACATAGCATTTCATCTGTCCTGGATTCAGGGCCCATTCAGACAGGGAGGAGCAATAAGGATACCTTGTCAAAGGCCACCCATCCCCACCTCAACCGCCCCCAAACCCTAGACTGGACACTGAGTTGTCCTGTGTGCACATGCTTAGAAAAATACTCTTCTAGTGCCATGTGGCAATGTCACCAGTGTTGCACTTGGGCTTGAGAGACCTTGGTTCAAACCTCTGCTCAGCCACAGGTCTATCTACCCTTTGCTCTGTATGCCAGAGCTTCCATGCACACACAGTACAGAGTTAAACCATGGTTTGGTCCAGCCTGGTCCAGATCTACTGATTCAGATGGCTTTAAAGAGGAACTGGACAAACTCATGGATAGAAGACCACTAGTGGTTACCGGTCCTGATGGCTTTATGCTACTTCTGGAGCAGAGGCAGCATGTCTATGGACACCAGTTACTGGAGGGGATGGTGGTGCGGCACCCATGTCTCGTTTGTATGTTTCTTGTGGGCAGCTGGTTAGCCACTGTGTGACCAGAAAGCTAGTCCTGCAGGCTCTTCTCGTGTTCTTATGTTTTTATCATCAGTGGATTGCCATAGCTGCATGGGTGTAAGTCCCATTCAAGTGAAAACGATACACACATCTTCTAATGCTAATTCTATAACTGATTTAATTCACAGACTTTGCTCAAATCTAAAATAATTCCAGTGTCATTCACATTTTCAAATGGCAAACATCAGGTTCATCCCTCTCTCTACATTTTTTTCCTATTCAATATTGAAATGTTTCTTCTATTCCAATGTCAGGCTATCACACGTCTTCCTTACTCTCTTCTATAAATTTGCCATTTAATAAAATATGGAATAAACAAAATTCTCTGTTCTTGTTTTTCCTGCTATTCCCAGTAAATTCAGAAGATGGCCGCTCCTTAGATTTCAGCCTGCATGGTGAAAGTGAAGAAAAAGGCTTCTACACAGAGATCTTCCACTCAACTTCCTGGGTATTCAGAGGGGACGATGCCAGTCCAGATAACAGTCCCAGGTGTCTTAGTAAAAGGCCAAGGCCTGTAGCTGGTAAGTCTGTATGCAGAAAAATAATTGAATGGTGAGCAGCAGGCAGTGTGCAGTGGCCATTAACTTTAGGTAGAAGCATCACTTTGGAATATCTGGAGGCATATACATTGCACCAGGGAAAGGCCCAGTCTAATATCACACAATCAGGTGTTCACTGATCCTTGAAAAACAGGGTGGGCAGAAAATACATCACCAGATGTTTTGGACTTCAACTGCTAGCATTGCTAATCATTGCCTGCACTGGCAAGGACTTATGGGAACCAAATTCTCAGACATCTGCAGCAATTCTGCCCCACTCTAGTTTAAAACAATATCACCATATCACTGTTATTGCTAAAGGGACAGCAGTGAAAACCTTCACCATGGGCAGAATGGTATTTCATGTTCCTTCTTCAGTTCCATGTATGTACGCTGTTACTGCACTTTTTAAAATTAGCATTTTCATGAGAAGGTTCTGTTGGTAGCTAATACATTTTTCTTTATCATTCAGAATTACTTCTGGTTAGTCACAAAGATCCAGGTCCTGCAAAAACAATTCTTTTTTAGCTTAATCTTTTCAGCGTTATGACAACTACAATGAACTCAGGCATTTCTGTTTCTTTTTCTTTCTAGTTCGTGAACGAACTGTAAGGATTGCTAAAGGCACTGGTGATTACCCCTGGGGATTCAGAATCCAGTTCTCAAAGCCCATCCTGGTGACTGAAGTGGACACCAGTAAGTGGTACTCCCAGAGACCCTTGCATGACATGTGTTTAAAAGAAGCCAAGAGCAGCTTTGAATTAATGACTGCATGGTGCTTCAGGGCAAACAAATAGCAGATAGTCTGCTGTGTTCTGATTACTATTATTATGAAGTATATTTTCTCTGAATTACAGCAGATCCTTGCATTCATCTTGCAAATGACATTCCATTGTGCTGAAAATGATAACAGAGAACAATAGCAATTCCTTTCTCATTTCCTTTTTTGACTTTCACTTAATCAAAGTAAAAAGGTCAGTAATCACTTGCAGCAAAACTTTCCCATCCCATACCTTCACATAAAACTTTGCTAACGAAAGCTGGTGATACTGAGAAAAAAAGTTCAGTGATCCATATAAAGCAAGAAACTATACAAAATCGTGTGTTTTGTGAGGTTTGCTATGTCTCTCTGTCTTTAAAACAAGATTAGTTTCTAACATCCGAACTATTCCTGTAATGTCTCAATGGGGTTTTTACACTCATTATATAGGATTATGGGCATGAGATTTGCAGCTGCTTCCCTATGCACTTGAAAACTTCCATTCCTGGATAAGTGGGTAATCACGGTTTGCTTCAGCTGTAGGCCATACAGCTGGATTTGAAATTAATCTCAAATCCAGAAAACTGTTCTCCATGTTCCAGAATTTCCCCACCATCCAAGGTCATAATCCTGGCTTGTAGTTCTAGTGTGTGGTTCAGATAATCACATACTGGATTCAGAAGAAATCACAGAATAGCTGCATATAAAGCAGGGATGACAAGTTTCAATTGCTACATAGCATGAGCAAAGATGTCATGCTGTATAAGGCTCAATCTTTGATGATAATTACTGCCACTCTGTATTTCTCCCAGCATCACTCATCATACAGAGTAACCAAGGCTGTTTCCATGCCAAAACCAGGCCTGAACTCTGACTGAAATAGATCCAGATAATCAGTTTCATTCAAGAGTACCTGGAGCTGGTTGGCATCCACCCTCTCAAGAGCCTTGCCCAGGAAAATAACATTTGCTACCCGCCTAAAGTTTTAAGGTCTTCTGACTTAAGGGAGGATTTCGTCAGAAATGGTCTCACACTGCCTCTTTCAGGAGGCACAGGCAACTCCTCTGACAGGGAGACATGGATCAGCTCATTGGCCCAGCCAGTTGTTCTTTCCTTGTTGGCTGTTATAAGCCAGGAGGGGCACGGAACCAGTACAGAGGTATAGCGCTGACCTGGCCACACACTTTTTCAATATCCTTGAGTTGTAACAACTAAAGTCACCCAAGAAAACCAGGTGGTGCTCTGGGTACCTCAACAGATTCAGCTGCTTTAACTCTGGAGTCTAAGCTCTGACAGATGCAAGGAATTTTTTTCCTAAAATTCCTCTTGGTGTGGGCTTTTATTTATAATCCTTGAACAAGTTCTAGCAAAATAACCTCATTTTTCTCAAATTGCAAGCAACAGATTACAAACATTCCTATTAAATTTCTTTAAAACTGTTTCTTTTCATCATATTGAAATAGCTTCAGATATTCCATGTTTCAATCTTTCCCTTGAATACCTGTTGCATGATTTATCATTTGTTGTAACTTTTTTTAGAAAAATCAGGGAAATTCCCAGGGTGCTTATGTCTGTCATTTCTCTGTATCCTTCTGATTTTCCCCCACTTCTCAAAAAGAGCCTCTGAGGTGTGTACTGTGCAGACACAATTCTAAAGTCACAGGGTACCAGCAATTTAAAATTATACCTGCATTAATCAAGAATGGCATTTTTCCTGAAAGAAAATGCTTGCGTGGTACATTATAACACTTTCACTACATGCTGAAAAAAGACCAAAGTATGATTCTGGAACACATGCAGGTAGGATTCAAATTACTGTGCCTTAATGCATCTAAATTGGGCATATTTTCTGCTTATGCAAGTTCTCTTCTATTCCTAGCCTGCCTTTACATAAGTCTTTCTATAAAAGTACAGGCAGTTTTCAGCCCCAATCAATAATCCAAAGGCAGATACCTTAATACTTCTGGGTCATATGTGCTTTTATATCCCTCCAGAAATTGCTTTTCCTTCTAAAAGAATTATATTCAGGGCCTCCATTCTTCTTCGCATAATGATGATGGAACAGCAGTGAGAGGAAAGCATGTAAGATTCAGCACTTTGAAGCAAACTACATAGTGCTATGTTTTGATCCTATACAGAGGGGGATGCATTCATTGTATACCCCCAAACAAAACAGAGAAAAGAAAGTCAGTCCAAAATTCTAATCTCCTTCTGTACACACCACTCTCTGTTTGTCTTCACCTTTAAATTATCTCCTCAGACTTGGTCTACTTTGCTTCTTAACTTTTATGTTCCTGCTTGTTTGTTTTGAACATTTAGACCTAACTTTTCATTCTTCGGCGCTCAAGGCAGCTTATATACAATCATTAGAACATCTATTAATGCAAACAGTATTTTTAAAACACAAATGAAACAGAGACAAATACAGGCAAGCTATAGCAGATAAGCAGGAAAACAGAGAGTGAGTAGTTATCAAGGAAATGCGTTGGAGAACAAAGATTGTCTTTGCCAGCTGGAAGGAAATGGAAGTTAAGCTGACTGAATTTATCTTGGCAGAGCATTCCAAAAGGGGTGGAGGTCACGAGAATGCCCTAAAACTCTACAGTTCCCAGCTCAAGTTCCCAAATATACCAAGAATTAAACCTCTTTGTGGCCTTTTTTTGTCCCACTGCTATTTTTGCATGGACTGTTGTTGTTGTTGTTGTTGTTGTTGTTGTTGTTGTTGTTATTATAACATTTCTATGCCACCCCTTGCCGAAACCTCTTGCTTTAGAAATGCCATACACATGTCATAACATCACATTGTCATAATATATTCTCTGAAGTTGGGAGTACCCTCTCAATATTTATTTTATTTTACTTATCATATTTCCCTATTACCCAATAGCTATTCATGACAATTTAAACCATAAAATAAAACATGATCAGCATAATAGGAATAATAGGAAATGTATAAAACTGCCATATAAAATGAAAATAAAAATCAAACAGTGCCTAACAGCTGTACGAAGTTTTGAAGTACAGTACAAGATTTAATATAGAAATGGAAAAGATAAAATGCTTTGGAAAATAAGAAGGCCTTTGTCTGGTGCTGCGAACAGCACAATGTAGGTCCTAGACAAGCTTCTCTGGGAAGCTTATTCCGTACTGGAGGGAGACAGCAGGAAAGTCCTCATCTTAACAGCTGCCCGTTTCACTTCCTTGGCAAAGTCTCCCAGCAAAGAACTGCTGAACGGATCACAGGGTCTGGAGAGATGTATTTGTGAGGACAGTCTGCCAGATAACCTGCTCCCAAGCCATTTAGACCCTGCCTGTTGATGCTAGCCAGCATGCGAGTGGGGCTCAGAAGTGGATTGGCAGCTGCTACAGATGGGAAAGTGCTGGAATGATACGCTTATGCTGACCAGTCCCCACAGGCAATCTCGTTGCCCTTTTGTGGACTAGCTGAGGTTTCAGGGCCATTTTCAAAGGCAGCCTCATTGCAGTAATCCAGAAAGCCTGGGCTTTTCTCTGCCACATGCATCCTGATGTTCTATGTACCCACAAAAATGGTGGATTCTGCTGCAGAATTTGGACTAGTGACCCATGAGGCTTCATGGCTTCCATGGCCCTTGGTAATCTTGATCACCATTCAGACTTTATTCAGCCACAACCAAGGCCAGGGCAGGTCCAAGACCTTTTGCTGCCAAAGAGAAGCAGCAAATGGTATTCTCCTTGCTCAGGTCACTGCTGTCTGAACATGCTGTCGGTACAACTTTGCTTAGTGCCAGACCCACACTCCAGCGCTTACTCAAGACATTTTGCATCCTGAGCAGCAAACGCATTCCACCCCTCAGTGAATAGCAACCAACAATAGCCACATTATTTTGACGCATGAGGCAGAACATTCCAAACTTAACTGTTTCTCCTATGCCCTGGCAGTAAAAATATATCTGGGAGAAATATGTCCCCTAGACAACATCTGAAGGACCGTGGCCTTGCTCAGAATCCCCCTGCCAAGGATGAAGGCTCACCTTCTAATCATGTAATCCCCTCCCCTTTTAAGTTGATGAGAAAAGCATCACACCAGCTGGCCTCTGAAGGTGGGAACCCAACCTCAGAGAGGGGGCATTTGGCAGCCAGGTGGGAAGGAGACTGGAGATGCTGGGATATGAATTATCCTGTACTTCTTTCCCTCCCTTTCTGAAACACCTTTGCAAGATGGCAAAAAAGCCCCTCTAGCAAAAAATGCAGGGCAGGAGAACAGGGAGATGAAAATCGCCTCTCCAGCTCCTCCTGCCTACACAGGATGACAATAAGCTTCCAGGTTTGGGGACTTGGCAACAGCCAAGGGCCAAATGGACAGGACTTCAATAAGTTACTAGCTAACCGTTTTCTGCCATTTCATTGCACTCAGAAGAATCTACCTGAAGCAGCCAACACAGTCGGCCTAACAGTAGGCCTGGTTCTGAGTGTAGAACAATGAACAATGAAGGGGAACATGCCTCATCTCTGAGTCTGGAAGAGTTCACATGAATGAACTTTGCTACATATTAAGAGGGAAGGGGAGACTTTGTCCAAAGTGCCATGATAGAAAACTGCTTCACTGACATCTGTGGGTTTTAAGTATGGGTGGAAGGCCATCCCGACTGGGTTCACATGGAACAGCAAACAGTCCTGTGCTGTTTGCACAGTATGTGGATTTGGCCTGAACTTAGTAGTCACATGATTCCCAGGGGTTTCCAAGTGCCCTGCCTCCTCCTCCCACCCATGACCTGCATCCCAGCAGCCTCCACGAGTTAAATCTGCTTCCCAACTCTACTGCTCCCTCTGGACCTCAGCAGTCTCACCCTGACTGGTCTGCTGAGGTTTCAAGCCTGGTTCTCCCCTTCCTCTCTTCCAAGTGTACCGCATCTTTGAAATGCTTCCTAGACACCTCAGCCTCCAAGCAATTTTTGGTGGAGGCTCCATCAATGAGGAAAGATTGGACAACCACATTTTAGTATTACATGAGCAGAGCCAGAGGTCAGACTAGATGGCCTGGGGGACCCCTTCTGACTCACTCTGTTTCTATTTTCTATAATAAAACTTTTGCCATGGTTCCCCCCTTTTTCCTCCATGTGCTTTCTCCCATTTTCGGAAAGCAAACAAGGGGACAGGCACATTGTTTGGCTAACGGGAATAAAGCAAGTGATGACTCTTGTGTTGCTAGACGATTGAGAGTAGTAGAGAAAAAATGGCTGCACAGCTCCTTCCATGGCCAATCTTTCCATTGAACTCTATGGTGTTTCCATAACAACAATGACAAAATGGAGATCCCAGGTCCAGATGATGAGAGAAGCTGTGGTGAAGCATGTGGTGAAGCATGTTTGCCTTACTGAAGCAGCTTTGCCTTCCCCATCATCTCCCAGGAAGCAGGGGGTTAAGCCTGAGCACATGTGGACAGACTGTGCAATAGTGGGAGAGAGGAACTGTATACATCCCATGGTAAGGGGCATTGTTCTCAACCTGGAGAGGGAAAAGGATATGTTGCCTGCCAGGCACAAAGCACTCCCGGGCCAATCCAGAGAACCAGAGCAGCCACCAAGAAGGGATGTCCAAGCTTCCTTTTGTTTGCTTATATTCTGCATTCCTATTTCATTACTGTATCATTTTTTACACAGGTGGTTTTGTTTCTTCCCCAGGATTTTCAAATGCAAAGAGAGTTTCTTAACTGATGATGTCTTCTTTGTGTTGATGCTACCAAAATGGTCCAAAATGTGAACCCTTTTCCCATTCTGTTGCAGACAGTGCAGCAGAAGAAGCAGGCCTTCAGATTGGAGATATTGTCTTGGCTGTCAACGGCACTGATGTCACCAGCATACCACATTCAGAAGCTGCAAATCTGGCAAGAAAAGGTAATTATGCCCATGCAAGGAAAGACTGTATCTGTTTTTTAGAAGTTTTCGACAGTGGGACTGTGACCCTATTGATTCACCTGGGTTTCTCAGCAGCTTTCCGTTCTACTGGCCATGGAATCCTTCTGGATAGGCTGGCAGGGCTGGGGGTAAGAAGCCAAGCATTGCACTGGTTCCACTCCTGCTTGACTGGCCAATTCCAGAAGGTGGTGCTGGGAGATTCTTGCTCTGTGCCATGGCAGTTATGCCATGGGGTACCACAGGGTTCCATTTTAGCCCTTATGCTATTTAACATGTACATGAAACTGCTGGGGGAGGTTGTCTGAAGGAATGGGCTGAGGTAGCACCAAGATGCAGATTACACTCAGCTCTGCCTCTCTTCTTCATCAAACCTGGGTGATGATACAGTGCCTGCTCTGTATCAGTGTCTGGCCTTGGTAATGGACTGGATGAGAACCAACAAACTGAGACTCAATCCAGGCAAGATGGAAGTGCTGTAAGTGGGTGGTTCATCTGTCTAGATGGGTGATATTCAACCTGTCCTGGATGGGGTTGTGCTCCCCCTAAAGGACAAGGTTCATAGATTGGGGGTGCTCCTGAACCCGGAGTTGTCACTTAAGGCACAAGTAGTATCGGTGACATGGAACACCTTTTATCAGCTTAAACTGATATACCAACTATGGTCCTATATGGACGCAGAGTGCCAAGCTAGAGTTGTTTGTGCTCTGGTAACCTCTCATTTGGATTACTGCAGTACACCATACATGGGGCTGCTTTTGCAAAAAGTCCTAAAGCTTCAGCTTATCCAAGACTGCTAATGGGGACTGTCTCACAAGGACACATTACACCAGTCCTCTTCCAGCTGCACAGGCTGCTGGTTGAAGTCCAGGCCCAATTCAAAGTGCTTCCACAAACATTTAAAGCCCTAAACAGGTTAGGGCTTGGGACCAGGTTATCTGAAGGAATGCCTCATCCCATATGTACCTACCCAGACCCTGAGGTCACCTTTGAGGGTCCTTCTCCAGGAGCCCCTCCCAAAGGAAGTGAGGCAGTTGGCTACCGGGAGGAGGACCTTTTCGGTTGTGGCATCGCAAGTGAGGAATGAGCTCCCCAAAGAGTTTGCTTGGTGCTTACTTTGTTTTCTTTTTTGGCACTGGGTAAGTCCTTTTTATTTTCCCAGCATTTTCACAGTTTAACAGTTGAATTTTTTAACTGTATGTTTTAATATTGCATGTTAGCCTGTTCAACTGCTATGCTTCTGTCCTGGTTCAGCTACAATTTCTTTTGTGGTTTTGTTGTTTTAAATTATTTTATGTTTGTATGTTTTTTTAAAATTTTATTAACTACCCAGACAGCCTCAACTATTGGGTGGTATAAAAATGAAATAAATACATAAAATATTTTGTATAAATAATTTAATTGCACATTACACACACACATATAAATTTGTTCAATGACCCCCTAAGCATTGCATAGCAAAAATGTGAAGCCACGCAAATAAAATAATTACAGGCTATAAATAAAATAAACAAGAAACATGATTTGCAGTGCAGAAACTAACATGAATGTCATGCATTAAATGACAAATGTTGAACAAAGTACTGCCTAAGGAATGCTCTTGGTAGTAAAAGTCAAAAGTAAAATCAGCTGCTGAAATCATAAGAATTTAATAGAGGTATATCATTTTCCAGTTTTTGAGATGTATTGCTGATCTATCAAGATCTTTGGCAGGCTCAGGCAAAATATCTCTGCTTTAGCCCTGCCCAAGGTAGATTTAATTTGTTGTGTAACCACTAGAAGGAAAAAATCTTTGCCAAATCATTGAAGAACTGGGGGATAATGGTAGGTACTCCACTTGCTAGTTAACCTAGCTTAGCTGCCAGCTATGCACGAAAAGTAAGGGTGGGTATTGACTTGCGTATCCCCTCATTGATGTCATATAATATTCAGTGTAAGTGGGATCTAAAGGAGACACGGTTTCTGCAATTCAGCCAATCAGATTTAATGCATCCTACCAGCAGTCCCAAACCCACACTTCCCTAAGTGGCATTTCCTGACTTCTGAACCCATTCACTCCTTGCCCAAAATTTAGCTTATCTAGCCGGGGGTGGGAAACTTGCAACCCTCCAAATGTTTTGGCCTGCAACAACTACAATCCCTTATGCTGGCTCTGATTGATGGAAGTTGTAGGCCAAACAGTTGTGGAGGGCCACAACTTGTCCATTCCTAGTCTACTCACAGCTGGCTCTTCCACGTTTCCACACAGCCTAATATCCTTCTGTTAGTCAAACCAGCTCCAAAAGTCCAGCACCCTTCAAGAACTACAGACTGGCAATTACTGTGGCAGGAAGGATACCAACCTGCCTCCTGGAGTCAGCATGAACTATAGTCACAAGAAGAGCTACTGTGCTTTGGTGTGGAAGGGGACAGAATACAGCTGATGGCACAGAAGCATGAATGGCTGTTGTGTCTTAGGTTCCCTACTGAAAGAGCCACTGTGCTTTTCAGAACAAAAATGCTTTCTCTGTGTCAAGAAAACAATCTTGCTCCAGCAGAAAAGCGTGCAAAGGAGCCTTTGGCTTGCTGTTCTCTTCACTACATCTACAGAAGAAACTTTGGCCAATAGCTTATTAGTTTTCTTGGTAAGCTCTTTCTGACATTACATGAGAAGAGGAGCAAACTGAAGAGAACCCAGAGAAAACCAGCTGGAATTTCTGCTGTTAGAGAGGTCAAAAGTGCTCCAGATTTGATATTTTTCATCTTTAGTGAGCAAGCCTGCCTCTGAATGTTATCACCCCAGTGCGCTGGAAAAGCTGACTTTGACAATAAGGGCAAGTTACTTTGGATGCGTAGAGACTGATGGAGCAATAAGGTGACAAGGATCCAAGAGGATAGCCAGGGTTAGATAAAAGACCCTCATTTTCTCTGTGGGCCAGCTACTAATATTATTATCCTGTTATAGCACCACTTAAATCTAGGCCAAAATGTCAGGTGGAAAGAACACATTTGGTAATATTGCTTTTGGGGCCCATGCCTCAAAGACAGATGGGTTCTGACAGTAGCCTTCAAGATATCAATCTACTATTTATATCCTGTGTTTCCTCAGGAGGAAAAAAAAGCAGACACACACAGCTGGCTCAAGGAACTCTCCGTGTATTAGAGAACAGTGCAACTGGCAAAATAGTTGATCAAGAGGGGCTTTATCCACAGCAAAACCAAAATAGCATTTTTATGCATTTGAAAATATGTTCCTGGGAAAAATTAAAACTCAAATTGTAATCTTGAATACACGTTAATTCCATCTATTGGGTTCTGAACTTCTTTGTGACCTGTTATAGACTACTTAACAAATATTTCTTGATGTATAACCAATTGCTTAATTATAGAGTTACTTCTATAGGACATAGAATTCACACTTTTATGCTGAGTGTGAATTTATTAATTAATCCATTAACCTCTAGTTAAAGCATGCTTCTGGGCTTGCACTTAACAATAATCCTTGATTCAGCAAACCATATTTAATTAAACCATGGTTTGTTGTCAAGGGTGAAGAATGTCTCTGTATATAAAACAGATTCTTTTAAATACTGTCTGAGAACTTCTTTCTTTTTCCTGATTCTGATAGCTCCATTTAAAAGAGAAAACCAAAAGAAATAAAATACTGATTCAAAATTAGCTGAACTGGATTACATTACATTTGTAATTATTTGATCTGACTGAAATGTGAACAGGGCCCTTATATATTCTTTTTAATCTTCCAGCCTAAATAATGCTTGGTATCATCTTGGAATCATTAATATTAGTCAATCAAATATTAATAATAATATTAATATTAGTCAATCAAAGAGCACACTTACTGTAATCATTGGGGAAGAACCTTGCTGAATACTGCTGAGCAAAGAGAGCACTTTAAAACCTCAAGTTCTCACAAATGTTCTTAGGCAACTATATTTTGTGCCTTAAACTGGGCTGTCTCCAAAATTATGTGGGTGGGCTGTGCAACTGGAGTTTTCCTTCCCCTTCTGTTCACCCCAGACACCTGCATATACCCCAGATGTGCTCCTGAATAGCCTCCAAACCTGCAGAAATGTTGGCAGATGTGGGGGAGGCTGCTGTGGAAAGTGGGATTTCCTTCAGCCATCCATGTTTGTTCCACTCCTGGAAGAACACTGTTGGATACAACATTGGTACAGAAGACTAAGCGCTTTCTCTTTATGGATTTGCTTGTAATTAACCGTAACTCAGAGTATAATATGATGAAATATTTCAGGTCCAGATGTTTTGACTTTGCTGGTTGGTTCTGATATCAGTCGCTGTCCCAACACCCCTCGCCCAACATGTCGAGGATATCTGCACAAACGGACCCATTCAGGAATCCTGAAGGGCTGGAGGAAGAGATGGTTTGTGCTGAAGCATGATGGGTGCCTCTACTACTATAAGCACAAAAAGGTAAGGCGCATAGATCAGTACCTTGTCTAAAACCTGTGGGAGTCAGGAGGCTTGTACGGCCAAGCCTGTCAGATGGACGAAGTTAATGTATCAATGTGCAGTTCATGCCAGAGGATATTGGGCGGTTGGTGTACAACAGCGGTGTTTGGCTGCTTTCAACGCAAAGGCCAAATTCTTTCTTGAAGAAGCTCTTGGGGGCACATTCCAGTGCAGGGTGGGGCTGAAGCCAAAATGGGTGGTCCAAACTGTCACAAAATACCAACATGTCAGGTTGCTCTTCAGCCTTTCGAAAAGGGATAAACCCTCTGCAAGAGCAAGGAAACCAGCTCAGCTGATTCTGCTGCTGCTACCCCACATGCCTGAGGGGTGTCAGCAAGAGGGGGGAGAATCAGTGTGTGCAGGGGTGCCTGCTTGGGACAGTACCTCCCAGTTAATCCCCCGCCCCAGTGCCCCCAGGTGCATCTGGGGGAAAGTCCCTCTTGTGCATGAGAGGGATGGGGGAGAAGCAGCGGGAGGGGAGCATCCAGCTGGGGC